CGCCCGCCGCGCTCTCTGCGGTAACCGCCGGGCGTCTGCCGCCTGGTTACCTGTGACGGTGCGGCTCATGGCGCCCGTGTCCCGGTCCCGCTGTCCCGAGGACACCCCGGGCTCTCGGATACGGCGACGCAGCTCTTCCAGGAGCGGCCGTTCCCGCTCTCACTCCCGCGGCCGCGAGGGCCTCGGGCCTCCGAGCGGCGGAGCGGGCGTCGGCGGGCCTCACCCCCTCAGTCGCGCCGGTTCTCGAGAGCAGCCCGGGCTCCGCAACTGCGCGTTCGTGTCCAGTTCGAGCTACCGCAGCGGGTACCGCGACCTTCACCACGCTTGTGCGGGACGGGGCCAGCGCGCGGAAGAGCACAGGAGGGAGGAGGAGAACTACCGGCAGCGGCGGCTGAGAGAGAGAGCGAGGATCGCCGAGCTGGGCGCTCCTGAGGTGTGGGGGCTGTCGCCAAGGTTTCCGGAGCCGGATTCCGACGAGCACACCCCCGTGGAAGGTGAAGAGGTGAAAACTCAGAAGACCAGCAGTTCAGATATCGGCTCCGAAGGAAGAAGGAAAAAGACCAGTCGTTCAAAAAACAGGAAAACAAAGAAAAAATCCAAAAGAAAGTATAGAGACTATTCTGATAATACTGACACTGATTCAGACTCTGACAGAAATACTAGCTCTGATGACGAGAAAAAGAGAGCAAAAAAAGCCAAGAAGAAAGAGAGGAAAAAGAAACACAGAAGGAAAACCCCCAAGAAAAAGAAGACTAAAAAAGAACCCAGTGACTCAAGCTTTAAGGATTCAGAAGGAGAACTGCCAGAATATGCCTGGGCTGAGCGCTCAAAGACTGCGGGTGCCATGGAGCTGATAGGTCCGGAAGCACCTATGATACCTGCCTCCCAGGACGAGAAACCCTTGAACTACGGCCATGCCCTGCTCCCAGGCGAAGGTGCAGCTATGGCTGAGTATGTAAAAGCTGGAAAGCGGATCCCACGAAGAGGTGAGATTGGGCTGACAAGTGAAGAGATTGCTTCGTTTGAATGCTCGGGTTATGTGATGAGTGGGAGCCGGCATCGCAGAATGGAAGCTGTGCGGCTGCGGAAAGAGAACCAGATCTACAGTGCTGACGAGAAGAGAGCTCTGGCATCCTTCAACCAGGAAGAAAGACGGAGGAGGGAGAGTAAGATTCTAGCCAGTTTCCGAGAGATGGTGCACAGAAAGACCAAAGGGAAAGATGACAAATAAGGACTTTAGTTGTGCTGCAGGACTGACCAACAATGTTCTGTGACCAAGTACTATTATTAAAAGGCTTTATGGTGCTACTGTATCTACTATGTAAGTCCTTCTAGAAAAAGCTGCTTTTTGAGGTCTCGTTAGCAATGTATTTTTATTTTAAAAAGTAATACATGCACATGGTTTTAAAAATATTCAAACATTATCCCTAAAGAACTCCCTTTTTGGTGTCTTCTGTATATGTCCATGAGTTCTGTGTATATACAAGCGTATTTGTTGCAGAGTAAAGGTCGGTGCTATTAACCTGAAGGTACCCCACCACCACTGTTGCCTTGGCTTCATTGCCTCCTGGAGCAATTAATTTGCCCCAGAGAAAACCAGAAGAATTCCAGAAAGAAAAAAGGATTCAATCGAGTGTATACCTCTAGTTGTATTAAAAAGTTAAAATAGCGGATCTATACTGAGTTATGTAACTGAAAAGTCCAGCGGGAGGACAGGCTTCCAGCGTGGCTTTAATAAGACTTTGGCTTCTTTCTTTATGGGTCATTTTTCTCTTCAGGCTAGTTTCCCTCGAATAAGAAAAGGGCTGCCAAAGCTCTTGAGTTTGGTTATATACTTCCCGATGACATTTTTGTCTTGGCATTGCAAACAAGAATCCTGAGGTTCTGCCTAATTGGATTAGCTTAGGTCACATGCCTACCTTCAAAAAAGATGTTGCCAAGGTTTGGTCAGCTTAAGGGCTACATGGGTGAAAGAAAAGGATACCTGAATGAAAGAAACCATACCACACTGTACACATGGATCAATACCTTTTTTCACTTTATACATCTTGAGGTGTTTTATCAATGCATATAACTCTACCTTATTGTTTGTAATGACTTTATAGTGTTCTAGTGTATGGAAGGACCCTATTTTATTGGATGTTTAAGATGTTTTGTTTATTTTATAATTACAGAACGCCGAAGTGAAAAATCTTTGTGGATATATGAATCTATTATCTGTAGCATATTCATCTAGAAATAGAATGATCAGATCAAAAATAATCTTTTGGGTATCTGAAAATGGCCACCTAGAAGTGGAATTATTGGATCAAAGGGAAGATATTAGGTGCTTTCTATGTGCTAGGCGCTATGGCAGATATATAAACCAAGGAACGACTTGGGCTTGACCCTTGCCATCACCGAATTTTATGTTCTACTGAAGAGACTTTAAAAAGTAACAGGTAAATAAATGCAAATTGTAGTATGCTGTGAAGAAATAAGGGGCTAGAGACACTAATAGAATTTTTTTGATAGTGTGGACAGGAAATTCTAAGAATGTCATATTTAAGCTCCATGTGCTTTTAAATTGTAATACATATTACAACATTGCCTTCCAAATAAGATGGCACCAGTTTACACACTTCCATACCAATATGGTACTTCTAAACCTTTTGTAGTCCTATTTGTTTATTTTTTCTTTTGTTGCATTGTGGTTTTAATTTGCATTTCAGAAGATTAGTGAGGTGGAGCATCTTTTCATATGTCTGTTGGCCATCTATATGTCCTCTTTGGAGAAATGCCTGTTCAGGTCCTTTGCCCATTTTTTAATTGGATTGCTGTTAAGTGGTATGAATTTTTGATAAATTTTGGATATTAACCCCTTATCAGATATATCGTTGGCAAATATCTTCTCCCATTCAGTAGTTTGTCTTTTGGTTTTGTTGATGGTTTCCTTTGCTGTGCAAAATCTTTTTATTTTGATATAGTCTCATTTATTTTTCCTTTTCTTTCCCTTGCCCGAGGATCTCATTATGGTTTTAATTTGTATTTCTCTGACAATTAGTGATGTTGAGCGTCTTTTTATATGTCTATTGGTGTACTTCTAAACCTTTTGATCTTTGCCAATCAGATAAGTGAAGGTGGCATTTCATGCTTTGTCTTTTATTTCTTTTTTATCTTTATTTCTTTTATTTCTTTTAGAGTATAATTGAGCATATTTGCATATATATGTCTTTTTTTTTTTTTTTTTACAGATTGCAAGGACCTTGTCAGTTTACAATCCCTTATTTATTTTTATTTATTACGCCTATAGCACCTGGTCTTCCTAGGTGGTCTCCCATCCAAGTACTAACCAGGCCCGACCCTGCTTAGCTTCCAAGATCAGACGAGATGAGGCTTGTTTAGGGTGGCGTGGCCGTAGACTTGTAATTCTTTTTTGTGTACATGTGAGCTACCCACATTATAACCTTTGCTCATTTTCCTACTGGGTTGTAGATCTGTTTTCTTATTGAGCATAAGAACTTTTCAAATAATAAATAAATTAGCTCTTTCACGTATCTTACAGATGTTTATCCCTCTATTTTTACTTTTGAATTGCTTTTTCTGAGAAACACTTGATCATATTGCCCTTTAAGTCCTAAAAAGATTCCCTAACACCAGTCGTACAATTAAACATCTTTGTCTTCCTTCCTTGGGAGAAAGATGTACCTAAGAAGCTATAATTTATAAGGAAGCCAAGGTGAGATCGGTGGGTCTTTTTTTCAAAAGACAATACACACTATGCAACATATTGTAAGTGTAATGCTTACAGCAGAGTTCTCATGACAGCATTGGGTGCTATCGTTATGCTTAACTTGCTTTTTTTAGTGTTGCTGTTAGGAAACTAGCCAGTAAATCTGCCTTAAACGAGATTTGAAAGTTGGAAGTTGTGGATCATTTGTCACAAGAGAGCAAATAATAGGAATTAGAACAACTTTTTTTAAAAGTAGTTTTTCCAGAGTACGTGGTTATAGGTTGTGGAATAGAAGAAGACAGCACATCAAAAATTTTGTGCCATGTTTAGGTTTCAAGAAACCATTAGAATCATTTTATTATTAAACTCTGCTCAAAGAGCAAGTTGAACAGATCAAATAGCTTGTTTTAACCACCAGAGTTACACTGAATTTTAGTCAGTGCCGAGAAACAGCCCAAGAAAGCAAACTAGCGAGGCAACTGCTGATTAATTTACAATTGGCGAATTTTATAAGACATCATTAAGTTTCTCCTTTTATGACTTTATGGAATTATCTAAAATAGCATTTCACAAAATATAAAACTCACCCACTGGCATAAGGGGTCCAATGGGTATTTCACGGTACATTTGTTTTTAAATTCTGTGATGCAAGAGAAGGTATTTCTTACCCATAACTATCAGCAGCTTAGAGAGTGAGAAATTACAGTCTGGCAAAATTGCTGTTTTTTTTTTTTTTTCCTTAACCTAACAAATTCAGCTGGATTTTTATGAGAATAAAAGGTAAGATTTCACCATCAAGCATGAGGGAGGCTTTTGGTCTGAGATGTATTTATTTTTGCCATGTTAAGGGAGTATTCATTCATTCCTCATTTATTAGGAAATTCCCCATTTAATCAGAAATGCATGTTTAATTTTGTTAAGTGACTTTCTAGCATTTACGGAGATAATGTGATTTTTCTTTCTTAACCAATGAATAGAGCGATTTAAAGTTCTAGGTTTTCTAATATCAAACTATGGGTTAAGTTTTTTAGATTCATAAATAGGTTTTTGATTGTTTAGAACAATCCCTGGTCACATAATTTTCTATTTCAAAATTTAGAATAATGTATAAGATCTTGCTGTGTGAATGGAAGTGGGGAGAAGAGCAGAAAGCAGCATTACAAAAGGGTTACTAACTTAATATTACTATATGGTAGCATGAGTTGCATTATAATGCAGAAAATGAAAACTTCATTTTGAATATCTTATGAATGGACCTAATGGAAACATATCGACCAACAATTTAGTTTTTAAAAAAGGATAATCCTGGAAAATGAAAATCTCAAATTTGAAAATTGATTTGTATTAGTGATGTGTAGTCTGTCCTGGTAAAAATGGTATTTTGACTTATTCTCACCTTATCTACCCCTACCCCTTCCAAAAGATATATACTACTTAAATTAAAATTGGACAACTTGAGTTTTTAAAAAAGCTCTTTGTTAAGCTACATTAAAGGGTTTTGACTTTCATGAGATAGCCAGTGCAATACCAATAATCGAAGCTTTGATAATATGGGTGACATTCAAGACACCAGTCGCTGTAGGGAATTTGAAAGTGAGAATATGTGAATTAAGACATATTTACTTCCTTTTGAAATAAAATTTTATGTTTATCCTTCATAAATTTTTTGGAAAAAGCCCTTCTTTAGAAATAGATGTTTTCCATTGTATATGTTTTCCATTCGAGACAGAATACTAACTTCTAATTATTAAAATATTTGCATTGGCTGGATTTGTTAGAAAATGTTTTAAAGTAATTTTTTTCTTTTGCTTTTAAAAGTAATGTTTCTTTTACTTTTAAAAGATATTTTCAAGCTTCAAACATTCAATAAGAAAAAGATAACTGTGATCATGCAATTCAGTTTTTTCTTCTCTGTTAAGATAATTTCAATACTTGAAATAGTAAATTATATGTCATAAAAATGGTCAGTATGATATTTAATGGTGTTTCAAGACTATCAACTGCTTAAGCCAGTTTGTATAGGTTTTAAAATGGGTTTTAAAATGTAGTTTGAGGCTGGCAAGAGAGAGAATATTTCTGTGTTCTTCTGTAGAGTTTATTTTGGTAAAGTGCAATCCCACGCTTACCCCATCTTCAACACCTCGCCCCCCCCCATTCATTGCAAAGTACTGATTATTCTCTCCTGCAGTAACAGACTTAATTTATTACCTTAAACCTTTCAATCCAAATATATGTTCATTGTTCAATTTAATCTTCAGAATACTTTGACCCTCATTTTTGCCACTGCGTTTGAAGATTTTTTAAATTGGAGAGAAATGGTAAAGTATGTGTCTTTGTTGGAGTTATATGAGTGAGCAAAGGGAAATGCCTGCTGTTTGTGATGACAGTAAACTGAGCTGGGTGGTTTTTACATGAATTAAATAAATTTCGGCTTAAAAATGAAAATCCTTCTAAGGTCTCATCCACATGACTGTCCCAGCCGCGGGCCCCAGAACGCGGGGCAGACGCAGGACACCATCGAGCTGCGGTCCTGGTCCTCCGGATTTCCTAGAGCGGAGAGCGCGTGCGCGAGGAGGGAGCGGACCCCGGCGGATCCCAGAAGGTGCTGGGGAGCGTTCGGCTCCTGCTGTGGGTCCCTAGCGGGCGAGTGGTGACTGCTGCGAGCTGCGGAGGAACTGCGCCCCAGGGCGAGGAAGCATCTCGTCCCCTGTGGGCGCCGAGAAGCCTTTCGCGACAGAGGGCCGCTCAGACTGGGTGTCCGAGGCAGGAGGTATCACTCCTGGGCCTGTGAGCCGGTGGAGCCGGAGCTGTGGATTTCCATCCGTAAAGCACAATTTTAATACGTATTCAAGGTAAGCCGTAGAAGGTCCTATTTGAGCAGAAACCTGAAGGAGGTGGGTTTTGGCGGCATCAGCTTTCTAGGCAGAGAGAACAAGTGCAAAGGCCCTAAAGCGGGAGCGTGCTGGACATATTCGGGAAACAGCAGGGAGACCAGAGTGTCGGAGCACCGTGAACAAGGTGAAGTGTGTGGAGATCGATCTCGCAGAAATCGGGGGGGAGGAGAGGCTGAAGATAAGTGGGCATTGTATTGTGTAAGGAATTTGGTCATTTCTTGTGAAAGTTTTTTGGAGGATTTTGAGCAGACGAAAAACATCTGATTTATGTTTTAAAGCGTTTATAGCTGGGAACTCATGATGAGAATAGACTGTAGAGGGGCAACTATGAAATCATAGAAATGTCAAAGTTAGGAGACGATTGCTAGTAATTCAGATAGGAAATAAGAATATTTTAGACTAGTATTAAGGTAGAAATGGTTAGTGGTGGTCAGATTAGTGATCTACCATGATGGTAGAGCCAACAGGATTTGCTGTTGGATCAGATGTAGGTTTTGAGAGTAAGAGAAACGGCAATGGTAAATTTAAGGTTTTGACCTGTGACTACTGAGATATTGGAGGAAAGATCTGAGGTTAGTTTCAGGACCTCAAGTAAGTTACTTAACTCTCTATGTGTCCGTTTCCTTCTCTGTACAGTGACCTTAGTAATAGTATCCTTCTCGATAGGGTTGCACTTATGCATGTAAAGCACATAGAATGGTGATGCCAGCTTGTTTTATTATGCCAAGACATGAAGAGTGAATGGGCATTAATGAGAAGAAAACTGGAACGTTGAAGATGTTCCAGGCAAAGGAGTAAGATGTGGAAGGACCCAGGAACAGGAAAGAGTAATGCAAGTTTGAGGGACTGAAAGTTCATTAGATCATGAGAAAATTTTAAACCATATTAAATATTTTGAACTTGACCCTAACGGTAATGATGAGCCATTAAATGCAATGTTCATAGCAAAAACATAGAAGCAGTTTTATTTATTTTGTATCTTTTCCCCCTCAACATTTTGAGGATTTTCACATCAACAGAACAGTTGAAAGAATAGTGCAATGAATACTATATAACCATAATGTAGCAGCACTGGTTAACTTCCTGCTGTTTGGACTCTCTCTCTCCACATTCCCCCACACACAATTTTTCCTCCTGAAACCTTTGAAAATAACTTTTAGCACTGTCTCCTGAGAATAAGGATATTCTATTACATGATCACAAAACTGTTCCCCACCGGAGAAAGTTCTCTGTCGGGATCTACAGACTTCTGTAAAGGGTCAAGTAGGGCATGTTTTCAGCTTTGCGGGTGGGATGCAGGTGGCAACCAGTCCTACCAGGGTGGTTAGTGCAGAGCAGGTGTGACGAGACCTCAGCCAGGGGTGTAGCCATGACCTGCAAAGCCTTGTACAGAAATAGGCCCTGTGCTCTGTGTGGTCTGCTGGGCCATATCATTCATACTTAGATTTCTGAATGCTTCAAAACATATTATTTGTATCTTTTTTTTTTTAACTAGAGCCAATTTTACATTGCATTTGCTGTGTTGCTTTCATTTAGAACAGTATCTTCCCCGTACCTTTTTATTTTCATTGATTTGTTTTGAAGAGCTCATGCCTGCTGTACATGAAGTGCATTCTGGATTTATCTGGACGTTTCCTCATTGTTCGATTCACGTTGAACATTTTTAGTAAAAATGCTGCACAGATGGGAGGGCACAAGGTCAGTTGTTTTACTGCTGCGGCTTCTAGGTTTGGTCACTGGATTAGGTTTGTGATATTTTCATTTTTCCATTTGTAATTAACAAGCAATGTGTATGGATTCATCGAAACGGTGAGAAAGCCCTTTTCCCAAGTGGTTCTACCCATTTGTGGCCTTTGATTCCATTATTTCACCCAGGGCTACAATAATAGATTTTTTAAATCTATTATTCCTGCTATGTTAGCTGTCAAGCTTGTGTGAAACACTTTTCTCATTTTGTACATATGTTCCTTTTTTATGAATGGTTGTCTCGGACAGAAAAGAAACACTATTAATTATGGGAAATGTACACACCCACCAAAGGGGTATTGCTATTTTTACTGTTACCATTGCTACTACTGCTGCTTCTGTGGTTCTTGTTCAGGCATTTCCAGGAGCACTCCGAGGACGCGGCCCAAGGAGAGCTCTTCAGAGTGCAGCTGGCTGAGGCCGGGATGGCGACGGCGTGGGGCAGTGCCTCTTCCCTGGCCACCCTGAATCTGAAGAAAGAGGATTGCCACTCTGCCTGGGGACAGGGATTCCAGCTGCAGGGCCTTGGGCAGGAGCCGTGGTGCAAACAGTTCAGGCAGCTGCGCTACGAAGAGACCACGGGGCCCCGCGAGGCGCTGCGCCGGCTCCGGCAGCTCTGCCGGCTGTGGCTGCGGCCCGAGACGCACAGCAAGGAGCAGATCCTGGAGCTGCTGGTGCTGGAGCAGTTCCTGGCCATCCTGCCCACGGAGCTGCGGGCCCGGGTGCAGGGACGGTGTCCAGAGAGCGGGGAGGAGGCGGTGGCGGTGCTGGAGGACGCGAAGAAGGACACTGGAGTCTCAGCACAGCAGGTGGGAGGGTCAGGTGCACTCTGTGGGAACTGAGTGGTGCACAGAGCTCCACCTGGGCCGGGGTGCTCAGCTCTGGGTCCGTCTCCTTTCAGTTCACTCTTTGTTGCTGTGGGTCTCACCTGCCCTCTGCCAGGAGGCTGCCGAGTGCTCCCTGATTCCTTAGCCTTTTTCCCCCTCCAGGGTTTCTCTTCGCTCTCTTTCCTAATGGGGAAGTGTTTTTATGAACAGCAGTTCTGTCCTGAGCCCACGTGTACCTACTTGTCCCTAGGATCTAGAGCATGCAGAGAAACAGGATGTACTTGTGGCGGAAACAGCCCCTCAGGAAGCAGGGTCTGCGCAGCAGGTACCACCCGTGAGTGAGCTGCCAAAGCCTGGCCCGGAGAAGGGTAAGAACGACCCCATGTCTTTCTTCCTGTGAGGGGCCCTGCTCCGTGTCCTGGGCATTTTGTTTTGAGTCAAGTTCACTGAGGTATAGTTTCCATTCTGTGAATTTACTCTTCGTAAGTGTCATGTCAGTGAACTTTCACAAACGGGTGGCAGTCCTTGAATCGCCACCATAATCCACATACCAAAGATTTCTATCACCCCAAACATTTCCCTTGTGCTCCTCCGTATTTTTTTGTTTTTTAAATGCAACCGAAGGCTTTTCTTGTGTGGCACTTCACCCCATTACTGCAGGTGAATAGAAAGTGCTGGTTCCTCACTCAAGGGAACAAATTCCAGCCATATGCTTCATTACTCATTTATTCTTACTGCGTCCAAGTTATTATAAATGGCTGCTGTCTTTTATTTCCAAATGTCACCTGGATTATTTCCTTTGACACTGAAATATCTCCTTTTAATTTCTGTCCCTCTCATTTTTCGTTCTCTCTTTCTAGTCCGATACCAGCCATGCTCCCTTTTTTTGTTGTTTTAATGTCTGTCATCTTGGTGCTTCCGTTGAAGTCAAGTTACCGCCTGTTCATTCTCCATCATTTAAACACGGACTCATTAATGTTGCTCTCTCCTTAAAACCCTTCATCTCACATGAGTAATTATTTTTCCAACTTTTTGTTTTGATGTTTGAAAAATTCTATAATAAAAAGTAAAAAATAAAAATAAGGAAAAAAACACCACTTTCAGCGACTCCCAATAACTGTTAACAAAGGCCTCACAGGTCATCTTTTGGCTTCTGCTGACTTTGCAGCCTCATGTCCACTAACATAACCAATTTGTTCTGGTTTGCTTGAGCCTGTTAGCACTGACAGTTCCATGTCTGGGGGGAAACCCCCTATTCCCAGACAAATTGGGACGGTTACCCTTTGTCCCACCTGCTCACCCTGTATTCCCATCATGCCCTTTTTTTCCCTTTTATGTTTGCTCCTCGCGGTCTTTCTCTCTGAGCCTCTCCTGCCTCTTCTATCTGGGATACTTATTCCTCACTCTCCCTGACTAATTCCTACTCATCATGCAGGACCTGGCTTAGATACCACTTTCTCTATCCTTCCCCAAGTCTCCCAAGTCTGGGTCAGGTCTCCTTCTTATGTTCCTAGCTAGGTGTTCTCCTGTCACAGAACCAATCACAGTATACCACAGTTACTGGTTACTTTCTCTTTTTCTGCCAGACAAAAGGGCAGGGCCTTTGTTCTATTTTCTGGGTCCATTACAGTCCTTGGCCTAGAGTAAACCTTCAATAAATGTCTATTTGTAGAATGGCTGATTTTGATTCTAAAGCCTTCTTTTATCAATGATCTACTTCCCGGTTTTGGATTCTATTTCAAACCCTTTTTCTGGAGCTTTAAGGTTTAATTTACTTTCCTACGATCACACAGCTAGCCATAGATAAAATTGGCACCATGTCTGCATTTCCTTATTTTCCATTAAAGTGCCATCCCTTTCTTATTGGCCTCAGGGTTCTCAATTGACCGAGCTTTTTAGTTTGGCATGTGACAAACCATTTTCAAGTCTGTAACCGTTCCCTTTAAGACAGTTTGCTAGCTTCTGTGTGTGTATCATGTGATAAAATTCAAACCATGTAAATACGTCACCTCCCACCACAATCCCCCACATGCCGCAAAGGCAGCCAGTGTTAATTTCTTGTGTATCATTCCATACGTATTCTATACGAACACAAGCGTCTACAACATTTCCGCTTTTCATAAATGGGTTAATTTAAAAAGTTTCCTTCTAATTGCAGATTTCTTTCCCCAAGCACCAAAAACCAAGTAATTCGTAACATATATTTCATGTTTCAGGAGAGGAGACAGGGATTGAGAAGGGGAAGCCGGTTGCAGAGACAGACTGCAGCGAAGGAGTGGGATCGTCTGGGAATAGATCTGAGTCCACAGAGGCCCATGATGAGGGCTTGAACTTGGAAAGGCAGCAGGCCAAGGCCGAGGAGGAGACTAACTCCAAATGCTCCAAACGTGGGGAGGGATTCGTCCAGCACTCACACCTGATTAAACATGAAAGTGCACACAAGGGAGAAAAGCTCTGTGAATCCGAAGTGTGTCAGAGCCCCAGTCATAGTGGACGCCACACAGTCCACTCTAGAGAGAAGGGTCATCGGTGTCAAGAGTGTGGGAAAGCTTTTCAGAGAAGTTCACACCTTGTCAGACATCAGAAAACCCATCTTGGTGAGAAGCCTTATCAGTGCAAGGAGTGCGAAAAAGTATTTAGCCAGAATGCCGGCCTCTTGGAACATCTCAGAATCCATACTGGAGAGAGGCCTTTTCTATGCATCCACTGCGGAAAGAACTTCAGGCGCAGCTCTCACCTAAATCGACACCAGAGAATTCACAGTCAGGAGGAGCCCTGCCAGTGCGAGGAGTGTGGAAAAACCTTTAGTCAGGCCCTGCTTCTCACCCACCACCAGAGAACCCACAGCCACTCCAGAAGCCACCAGTGTAACGAGTGTGGGAAAGCCTTCACTTTGACCTCAGACCTTATTCGACATCACAGGATTCACACTGGAGAAAAACCCTTCAAATGTGATATATGCCAGAAAGCCTTCCGACTAAACTCACACCTCGCTCAGCATGTGCGAACCCACAACGAAGAAAAACCCTATGAGTGTAAGGAGTGTGGGGAAGCCTTCAGGCAGAGGTCAGGTCTTTTTCAACATCAAAGATATCACCACAAAGACAGACCACCTTGCTGAGCTGCCCATTCTTTGCAGGACATCAGAGAGAGCACATTAACAAGCAAACAGCACTTGAGGAAAAGTCATTCTAGCCAACTCTAGCATCAGAGAATTCTTGGGGCCAACTGGAGACCATCTATCCCCATTCTCTGTTTTGTTTTTCTTGAAGTCAATTTTGGGCCACAATAATTTGACCTTTGATGACACTGTGGGTTTTTTACCGTAAGGTTTCTCAGAGCCTTTAACATGGTGAACACAATGATGCATCTCCAGGTGGCAGAGCCTCATGATTGAGTGAGGGCACTGAAGTCAGCAGTGAATTAAGTGTCCATAGATTTACAAGCTTAAGCAAAACAAGAGCAGTTTGATATTTTTGTTTATGCTACAGCAACGGATGCCTATAAAATAAAACTAATTGGTGTTTGAAAGCATGCCACACTCAGAGGTGTCTCCAAATGTGGGTTGATGGTGACCATTTCCCCACACTGGCTTTACCAACTCCCACCTTCCCCCAACCACAACCAGCAGAAGCATTTGGGAGGCAAAGATAATCCAGTTTTACATTTCCCACCCCCTTCCCTGCCATGGTACCTCATTGATTCGAGGTAGAAATTAAGGTTTCATTTAGACTAGACAAGAGATTCATAAGTCATTTGAATGAACCATGCTGAATTAACCCAAGTAGCAGCTGTCTTAGGTGACAACTCCAGTACCAGTAGAGTGACTGCTGCATAGACACGATTCAGTAAATGGGGAAAGGAATTGGACTTTTTAAATTTGATACTGGTGATATGATTTTAAAAATGTTGCTGGTTCTAAAATTCTTGGAAAGTCAAACAATCAATTCAACTTGGAGATCATGATCTTTGTATTATGAATACCAAAGGTCACCGTAATGATGAAGAGCAGTAAGCTTAGGGGAGGCCACTTCCAAACCTGTCACCAAGGTGTGGACCACCCCTTGCTGGTTGGTGGTAGCTGCTTAGCATTGTGCTGTCTGGAGAAGGCTCCACAGTTTGTTGTGGGAACGGGAAGATGGTGAACCAGCATGGATTTGCTAAGGGTTTGATTCAGCTGCATATGGTTTAAAAACAAAAAGAGCAGGAGTGACTTTATAACAGTTTGTTTTTTCTTAAATAGAAAAGGCTGGCGACAAGCAGTCCAAGACTGGCAAGTGCTTCAGTGACATCACTAGGGACCCTGGCCTCTGCTTTTCTGCTCCACCATCCTAGTGCATGCCTTCGGTCCTTAAGGTTACCGTATGATCTTCCATGGCTCCTCAGTCTCCAGCCATCATATGCAAAATGTGGACAAAACACAGAGGGACAAAAGGAAGCTCCTCCCAATTCAGTCAGCTCCCTTGGGGCAGTCTTCCCCAGATGGCTTCAGCACTGTGTCATAGGCCGAAACTCAGGGAAGGGAGGTTGGGAGGTGTGTCTTATTCTGGGTTACCATTTTCTGGAGGAGAACCAGATCTGTATATGAAGCAGCAGTAACTTTAGAAATTAAAGAATTTCATGGAATGTCAGTCATATTCCACTGCTTAGGAAGCCACATAGCTATGTATTTTTTATTTTGCCTCTTTAAGTAAAATTAAGTTGATATCAGGGATTTCCCCCCCCGCCCCGCTGTTTTGAGGGCTCTACCAATGTAAGTACCTAAATGCTTAACTCTACGTCATAGTTTAAACCTATCTATTTCTGTTCAGTTTAAGAAGGAAAGAACATAGAATATTTTTATTCTCATTAAAAAGCAATGACAAAAGATTCCAAGCATGAAGAATTACATAGTTATGTATATATGTGTGGGTATATATGTGTGCCTGTACATATACACACTCTAAATTCTAATCAGTTGGTATTGATAATTTGTTTTCTCAATTTTTAACATAATTTCCATATTATAATACCTTCATAAATTTACTAAATTAACTCGTGCTTATGATAAAAGTTCATATACATCGTAAAATCATTGAAAAATATAAAGAAAAATCATTGTCTCATATTCCAAATATAACCTCTTAATATATTTTAAAATACTGATCTTTTTTATGCATAGAAACACTACTTTTCTCACTGGACTTTAGTTATATCATGAACAGTTTTCATTTGCAACAGGACAATTTCCCTATCTGCCTACTCCATTCTAGTCCAATTCTGCCATAATCCTGAGTGGACAGCCGTGTGATCCCTCTCTGACCACTGAGGATTGCACCAGGAGGGGCTCCCTAAACCAGGCTTAGTCATTGAGATACCCCTAGGGATTTGACACTGTGTTACAGATTCTTGTTGGTCTCTTAGGCGTTTATACCAGGAATAGTACAGAGCTGGAACCATTTTTGTGGTCACATAAAAACTAAATAGAGACAAACCAACCCAGCGATAGGCAAAAGAATGAAACCAACTCTCGAAGCCCAGATTGCCTCAGAAGAAGCACTCAGCCCTCAGCTTCTGTGGTCTATATACATACTGGTCCTGGGAGTCCATGGAATAACCTTATGGCCTTTAATAAAGGTTTCCTTTAAATTAGTTAGGGTGGGTTTCTGAACATTGTCAACAAATAAAAAATTTCCCTGATTACGACACCTTGATCACTAAAAGTCTTCGTGGAAGACAATTTTCAATATAAGTTATACAATATTCGATGGTACACAACTCCATTGTTGGTCATCTAGGTTATCTGTAGTTTTTTCACTGTAAACTATTTCGGTGAACATCCTTGTACATACAATTTAGCTGTTACAGAATTATTTTCCTTCATTCAATTCTCCTAACTAGAATCAATGAGACAAAGGGTAGGCATATTTTCTAAGGCTTTTGATGTATTTGCCAGATTGCCCTCCCCAAAGGTTATACTAATCTGTACACCCTATTAGTCTGTGAAAATGCCTATTTTTCTAAACCTGCATCAACTCTGGAAATTCTTTTGAATATTTCACAATCTAGTGCATACAAAATTGGTCTGCTTTTAAAAGGATTTTTAAAGAATATTTTCACTATCAAAGGTGAACATCCTTTCACATTTGATTGGTCATGTATAATTTTAGTTTTGCGAACAGCCATATTCATCTTTGCTGAATTTTTCCATTAGAGGTTTTACTTTTAAACAGCAGTGCCCTTAAACATGAAACAGGGGCGCTGTATGTGAAAATTTAAATGTGCATGCCTTCTGACAAATCAATTCCAATGTGCAATTTTTACCCTAGAATTATAAGAGAATGTAAAGCTATTCAGTGGTGTTCTCTGCAGCATTACTTATAAGGAAAAACTGGAACCTAAGTATACATCACTAGAGATAATAAACCAAATTATGGCACACACGTACAATGGAGTACTATTTCGCTGTTTAAAAGTAAGCTGGTATGATAAGATTTCTGGAAAAAATTAGGTGCAAAATTATATTATAATCCTATACGTGGTTTAAAATATATACATAGATACTTACTAAACAAACGTTTATTGAGTGCAGCTATGTGGCAGGTGCAGTCCTGGGAAGACCTACACAAAACATTAACAATGGTTAACCCTGGGGAATGGGACACTTCATATTGTAGTCTATGCAACTCGCGTTTTTCTTGTGCCTAAGTATATTTAAATTTTAAAAAATCGTGCCGCTTGCTGTATTGTAATTGTTTATTCATCTGCTCTTTCTCCCTTCCCCCATCTTTCCCCCGCAGCAGGCTATGAGGACCCTAAAGACAGACTCAGTTCTGCCTTTACCGTCCTGTTGGGTTTTTACTGCAACGATTTGCATAAATGAGGGCGGCGCTCGGGTCGTCTGCGAGGCCCGGGCGGGGCTGCGTGTCCGCCCGGCGCACCAGAGAGACGCGGGGCCGTGTCCTAGAAAGGTCGGATGCTGCGCCGCCGCTGCGCGCTGCGGCAGGAGCGACCCCGGCCTCTCGGCGCTCCCGGGGTCCTTCCGCGAGGCCGGCCGCGTCTTTCTCGGGCGCGTTCGCTCTGCTTCTTCACGAGGCCGGCCCGTCTTCGTTGCACACTGTCGCTCCGCTTTCGGTCCGCCAACCAGCATTAGACGCGCATTTATCGGGTGCCCACTGTGAGTCCAGCGCTGGGTGCTGGGGGCGACCTCAGGAAGGGACTGTCCTGGCCCGCCGCGTCCTGACCCGCCGCGTCCTGGCCCCCAGCTTCTTTTGTCCCTCCGCGTGACGCCCTCCAGGTGTTGCTTAGATACCAGGTACGAGCCTGCGCTGACCTCGCGGAGCTGGGGCGGAGGCGCTTGGAGTGTAACCTGTAGCGACGGAGAGACACCCCCGCCTCCTTGTGTGGCTTACAGGACAGAATAGTTTTCTGTCTGTAGATTAGGTTTATAATCGCGCTGGCCTTGGGAATTTGCCCTGTTGGAAGGGCGGTCCTAGTCGTAAACGACAAGGTGGATGAACAAAACTTGAGTTGTCAGCATAGCAGTGACATGAGGAATTTGGCAAGACGATGTTTCCTTGAAGGTAGGGACTGTGTCTCGTATTCCAGGGTTAGTGTTATGTCTAGAAAATAATGACGTGCCCACTAAATGATTATTGAGTGACAGACGAAGCGGTAACACCCGAGGAAGATCAGATTCTGGGAGTCTGAATTTAGTTCAAGAAGGAGAGATTGAAACGCGCTCTGCTGGAGGGAGGTGTGTTGAATATGGTTCCAGTTGTGTTGTAGGAAATATTAAACGGTGGTGGGTGGGACGTCGGGAAGGAATGCCACAAAGAACATTATTATAATAGTGTTCGTGATAAGGGGATGAGAGTAAGGGATGACTGCACGAGGCGTTTTGGAGTCAATTGATGAGGCTCCAAGTGATTGTATATAGGGGTTGGTTTTAAGTCTGAGTAAATGGAAGATGGTGGACATGCCAGTGGAAATGGAGAAATACAGAGTGAGTGCAGCTTTGAGGTGACTCTGATTTCAGTTTGGGATGTGCTGGCATGCCGGTTGCTGGAAGCATCCTGCCGGCATTTCAAGAGATGAGTCTATAATGGAAAGGCAAGTTTGAGCCAGTCAGAGCCTTGAGTATTTTTGGAGAGATATGTTGTAATTGTGATTAGTGAGATCACAAAAGGAGAAAGTAAGGAGTCAAAAAGAAATCGAAGCATGTCTACTGTTTCAGTTATCTACTGTAACGTTAAAAAAATTAAAACACCAAACTTAGTGAAACAACCTCAATTTTTTCCTTAGTATTCTGTAGATTGACTGGGCGGTTCTGCTGCTGGTCTTATTTGGAGTTTCTCTTGTGGCGGTGTTCTGGTAAATCCGATGAGGGCTGGGCCTCCCCCAGCTTGGGTAGGCGCCTGGGTTCCCATCCATGTGACCTCTCACTTGGCCACCTTGGGCTCCCTCACAGCGTGGCAGGCTCACGGCACTGTGCCAAGAGCACTTCCTTTCTGTGTCATTTCTGCCATATGCTGTTGGTCAAAGCAAGTCATAGATCATCACACATTCAAGGGAAAGACTACCTCTTGATGAGAAGAATGGCAAAATCTTACCACAGAAACTATTTGGGGGTGGGAAACTTTGGAAGCAGTCTACCTCACCTACATTTAAGGTGGAATTTTCCGTGGAAATACACAGAAATGGATGACCTTTGAGAGAATATTTTTTCTTTTTGAAGGCAGCCTTCTCCCCAGCTGAAGTGTAAGCTGCGCACGCGTTCTTGTTAATAACCCTTCTTCCCTCATATGGCTCACCTGACATCTCTTACCTCTGGGCTCAGCCCTTGGGGTTCAAGGTATACTTGTGAATAATTTCATTGATAACATAGGCAAGCATGACTTCCAGAGGGAACAGAAATATAAGTATGTTATATAGAATTGTGAAGCTCTTGTAATTTTTTTGTTAATGATCAATCCCGACGCTTCAGATGTAATTTGGGAAAACATTTCTGAAGCATAGATCCCGGCCAAGTAAACCATTTCCTCCCTTTTTTTTTTTTTTGTACTTTATATGTATTATATACTGTGTTCTTAAAGTAAGCTAGAGATAATATTGAGAAAGTCGTAAGGAAA